AGGATCAGCCAGGGAGTGATGGAGAGACTCCAGGAGGGTGGCAGATAGGGGTGAGCTGGAGCCAGTTTGAAATGGAGCGTTACATTTTCAGCATCAACATTTACACTTGAGAAATCAGCAAATGCTACATATCAGGACCTCAGTTGTTGTGTTCTTGGTTGTCTAGACTTAGACGGAGAAAATGTTAATTTGCCAATTAGACTTAAAAGTGTGTCCTGGTACATTTCTTCTGAGAACGGATTGTTAAACATTTACAAAGACACCCGTGGTGTGAGCAGCCTGCAACGTATTCTGGACAAGGATTAAGGAGAGCCAGAGTAAAAGATGCTACCAAATGAATGAACACATGAATGAATGAATGAATGAACGAAAATGCATTTAATGAGCCCTTACGTGCTAAGTACTAGAGATACAAATACAAAGTGAAGCAGCCACTGACCTCAAATAGCTTAAAATCTAATAACTTTAGGGAGTGATGACCAGGGCAAGGAGTTTTGGTCTGGGAAAGTGCAAAGCTGATGAGTGGACTGATTATTATTGTTTTATTAGGTATTATATAATAATAATAATTAGAAAGTATTAGCCCCATTTGGGGGCAGCTAGGTGGTGCAGTGGATAGAGCACCCGGAAAACTTGAGTTCAAATCTGGCCTCAGACACTTACTAGCTGGGTGACCCTGGGCAAGTCACTTCACCCTGTTTGCCTCAGTTCCCTCATCTATAAAATGAACTGGAGAAGGAAATGGCAAACCACTGTAAGTAGTGTCTTTTTCTAGGAAAGCTCCAAATGGACTCACAAAGAGTCGAACGTAACTGAACAACAACAATGAAACAACACTCCACCCCTCACCCCCAACATTTTTACAGATAAGGAAACTGAAGTAAACAGAGGTTAAGTGACTTGCCCAGGGTCACACAGCAAGTAAATGTCCGAGGCTGACTTCGCACTCAGGTCTTCCCGATTCCAGGCCTGGCTCACTCTATCTACTTGTCCACCAAACTGCTACTGCCACAATAGAACGGGTGATCAATCCTCCCTTTCTAGAGGCAATGAGAGTGTTGTTGTTTTTTTTTTTCTAGTTGTCAGAGAAAGTAGTGAGGCAGCTAGGTGTGCCCTGGGTGGATTGATGGGCTTGGAATCCAGAAGACTTGAGTTCAAATCTTGCCTCTGACAACCTAGTAGCTATGTGACCTTAGGCAAGTCACAACCTCTCTGATCCTCAGTTACAGCCTCAACTGTAAAATGAGGAGGTTAGGTTGGACGGCCCTTAAGATCCCTTCTGGCTACAAATTTATGATCCTGTGATGGAAAGTGGAGGGGGAGAGGAGGGACCCATGGCAGAAAAGGCACAGATGAGGAAAATGAGTGGACTGGCCATTTGACAAGCACAAGAACTGACTGATGGACAGCCCTTAGGCCTCAGTGCTATCTTCAGGATGTCAAGAAATCGAGGATGGCCTCCTACATGTTGGGTGGATGAGTGGCACAAGATGGGCAGGCACAGAGGTGCTGCTTCTATATCCCCACAGGCACCCCCTCCCATCTCTGAGACCCCATTGGAGTGGGTATGATTACTCTGGTCCCGACTTAATTTGCCAGGTTCATTTTCCACCAATCCCCTAAGTCCCCAGTCAACCATGATGTGGAATAATCAATAAGGAAGCCAGCAGGCCACAGCCTTGTTTTCAAAATTAGGGGCAAAGGCCAATGGGACACTCAAGTTGCCCAAAGGCTGCTTTGTGCTTCCCTATGGGAAGCCTCTAATGACTCTGATCCTTCCACCTGGATTCCTGTGATCAAATCTCATCCAGGGGAGGCTATTTCCCCCATCACCTTCCCCGACCGCCCCTCATCCCAAGCCAAAAGGTATGGCTCTCTCTCCTAAATGATAGCTTCATATTTCTGCCTCACCTCTTGATTGCATTTGGCCCACGCTGGCGACCTTCTAGGATAGCTCCGTATAGTCGACTTAACTCTTCTGGCAGACTAGAAGCTCCCTGAGGACAGTGACATCTTTACTGTCTCCCTAGCTTTAGCACAACCAGGCCATTGAACACATCTGTTGAATGAATTCTTTCTCCTCTGGAATCATTGGGTCATTTCATCTTCCTCCCCTACTCTGCAAAATGGGATGGCCACCTGCCCATCCCTCATTAACGTCCAGCTCTGCATTGGCAGCATCATAGCGATTCTGAGGCCGTGATGATGTTACATCCTGTACCAAAGCTAACAGAGTTGGGCTTTAGGCTGGCTGGCCTTCTGTTGTCTCAGGACCACCCTGGCTAAGAGTGGATAAAATTCATCACCAGAATGGTTGGCTGGGGGCGGGGGGGGGGGAAGAGAGTGGGGTTTCCCCTTTCTTTTTTCCGTCCACAACAACTCAACATGGACAGTCCCCTGAAGGGTGGAAAAAGCTGTGACAACATCGATGAGGAGAGCCGAAATCACAGACCCTTACAGCAGTCCAGTCCAATTGGCTGAAGCCCACCTTGGCTTTCTTGTCACTCACCCACACAACTCTCCATTTCAACTTCACGTGCCTTGGTGCAAAGTGTTCCCTTTGCCTAAAACGTTCTCCCTCCACACCTGTTTCTAACTCCCTTTGTTTTTCCAAAACTCTGCTTACGCATTCCCCTTCTTACTGGGCAAGTAGTCCCAGTTGGTTGGAATGTTAAGAAAGCAGTGGGAAGGCAAGCGGGTAAGTCAGGACAAGAGGATGCACACCCAGGAAGTCGTTCCTGATTTGCCCGTGCCTTCTCCCCAAAAAATGTACCTTGTATTTATTCTGGATATACACGAGTGTCCACATCATCTCCTCCATAGGATGTAAGCCCCCTTAGGATGGGGAAAAATGTCTTTTTGTCTTTGCATCCCCAGCACCTAGCACAGTGCCTGACACATTGCAGGTGCTTAATAAATAGATGCTGGCTTGACTGAAGCCTTGAAGATCATGAAGACCCACCTGAAAAGAATCTCAGTCCTCCCTTTTTTCCTAAGGCATCTGCCATCAAAGGAATTTTTATCCTAAGCCCCATTACTGTAAGAAAATCCCTTCTTCTTTGAGTGCCAAATCAGAATATTATTTTTTTCTTTCTTTCTGGAGGCAGCAGTGGAAAGCTTCTGTTATGATGTGAGGCTTAGGACTGGTGGTACTTAATCCTTCTGCCTGCCCTTGCCAACGGGCTATCATGTTCCCTTTATGTGCTGGGGGGCCTTGGTCACAAAATAATTGGATAGAGATGGAATAGGAGGCCGGCTGACAAATGCTTCTGCAGAATCCTACACTACTTTCACATTGCCGTTTCTTTCTGTTCACTACCTGCAGCTAAAGAAACCAATCTAGGGCTGTCAGAGCATAGCTACTGTCAGTGAACCCCCTAGGCAGCACCAGCTACAAAGGAGCAGAAACAAGTTTGGGGCGGCAGTGGAGGATGATGTAAGGAAGCTCCGTCTCGGCACTGTTTCTGAGAGACTAGCATCAGCCCTGCCGTCTACGTACCGAGAAATGCACTCATACGGAGTGGGGACCAGCAACTCAGATTCCTCACCTATCACCTTGAATCCAGAAGAGAGCCCCAGTTCTGGAAACCACAATCATCCCTGCCATTGTTCCTGGACAGGGTGTGTCAACCTGTCCCCATGGTCTCATTCACCAGCTCTGGCTTAGCTTCCGAATTTCTATCCCCAGTGCTTAGAACAGTAACTAATAAATACATTTTCATTCCTCATTAACACCGGAACACAAAATTGAGACCTGGAAGGGATCTCCCATTAGCGAGTATAGGGCTCTTAACCTTTTTTTGTCATAGACTGACAGACCCCTTTGGCAGTCCATGAACTCTGAATCACAGACAAATTCTCAGAATCGTATTACGTTAGAATGGGAGCTCCCTGAGAGCAGGATTTATCTCACTTCTCTATTTGTACCCCAGGTGCTTAGCACATAGTAAAGTGCTTAATAAATGCATTTTTTATTAATTCATAAAACATAGGATTACAAAGGAAATTAATTGTGCTGAATAGTTCTCAAAATATTTCTTTAAAAGACAAGTACACTGACTCCCAGATAAGAGTCCCTGATCTAGGCCGACCCCTTCGACTTAATAGGTAAAGAAACTTAAGACCCAGAAAAAAATTCAGGTTGAGATCAGAACTGACCAACCTGGCACAGAATCATGGAATTCAGAGTTGGCTAAAAGACCACCCTAGGGTAGCCCAACCTCTCACGGTTAGGATCTCCAGACCTTACCCAGAGGTCCTATTTCCAATCACAGCCTACAGTAATACTGCCGCCATTTCCCCCTCATCTGCGGTACTATCATATGGCAATTTCCACCCTCCCTGATCATCACCATCCCACATGGGAGCTCTCCATAGAAGAGCGATCTAAGGATCCCATTGCCTTCCATTCCCCGAAGGTCCAGCTAAAAGGAATCAAATTCTGAGGAGCAATGTAGATAGATGCGTAGTGATTTCAAAGACCTGGTTGCCTGGGCTGTCGAAGTCTGTGTGGCACATTCTCAGTGATGCCATACAGCTCAGAATCACGAAAACATCACAATTTAGGAAGAATCTGTTACAAATTAGCCCCGGGAGAATGGAAAGCAGCACATAGGATGTAAACATGCATGTTTCCAACGCGGTCTTTTTCGAGAGGCCTTATCAAAGATGTTGCCAAGTAGCCATGTGACCGGAACACAAGGTGGGCTGATTGTGTAGCAACGTGGATGCCTGTGATACTATATGAGTAAGATTCCCGCCCCCTACACATGTTAGGCTCATTCTCCAAGGCGTCAAAGGCTAGGGGATGGCTGTTCTCAGACCACCTGACCCGCTCCCCCACTCCCAAATTAAGAGATTATTGATAAGGGTGTATGCTTTAGCCCCACGGACTGGTGGGTGCCTGGATCCTGACCCTGGGAATGGGGCTGGATAGAGCCGGAAGCCACTCTGGCGTTTTAGGAGCAGAGAGCAGAGCAAAGGAGGCTCAGAGAAAGTACCACAGGGGGAAAAAACGGTGACAGTTTTATTGATGTGGCGACAAACCAATCGACAAAATTCATTAATCCAATCGATCTCCTCCAAGAGGATGCACTGCGTATGAAATATCTTCCAAGTGACATGATGCTTTAATAAGTTAAGGAAATGGCTTCCTCCTCTCACAGTATCGTTTCCTCACTTCATGTTCTTGACAAAATCCTCCCCTTTCTTGATGGAGGCTTTCAGCTCGGAAATGGCCTCAGCAACCATCTTCTCTTCGAAAGGCGACAGCTTGCCAAGGCCCAGGTTCTTCTCAATGCCTTTTTTCTGTGAAGGGAAGAAAATCAAAAGGCCTTCTGGGTATTTTGGCAGTCGTGTCTAATACAGCAAAACACTCCCCTCCAACTCACGGTTGTCTGTGCTGCGCGTGCTACAGCAGAGGCATCAAACCTCTAACCAGATTAAAATAGAATTGGGAAACGTTTAACAAGAGAAGTAAAAACGCAAGAGGACCCAGATTACATTAACATGCGGTTTTCTAAGTCAATATGTAGCCCCCAGTGACCCCTAGGTAGGGGCGAGTGGGCCTGTTTCTATCTGAGTTTGACTGCCTGCCCTAAGGGCTCCCTGAAGATACCAATCACCCACAGATCAGAGCCTGCACTCCTTCCCTCCTTATTATCATTAGGTAGATGACTAAGGAATGAAACTTATTTTAAGATTCACCTGAGCCAATTATTGCTAGTTACTATATTTACACAGCATGGTATATACACAATCGCATGTGATCCTCACGAAAACTCTGGGGGTGTGGCAACATTAACCCATTGTACAGACAGGGAAACTGAGGGACAGCAAGGTCAAGTGACTTTTCCCATACTTGAAAGCTAGGAAGTGTTAGGGCCATAACCTCGGGTTTTGTTTTCACTAAATTAGAATAAATGGCTGAAAATAAAAAAGCATGGTTTCTGCCCTCCTATTTACATCAGTGACCAACAGACAGCAGCCAGCTCCTTTCCCTGAGGCAAAAGATTCCTACTATTTGTACACTGAGCTCTATGCCGAAGAGGGTCAGCATGGGCTCTTCCATCACAAACGCGATAGTACCAAACAAAGGAGACTAAATTTCACCAGGAGTAGTTTGTGTGAAAAAAGACCCAGGTATTTTAGTTGCCTGGAGCTCTGCATGAAGCACAGGCTTGGTACTGGGGGGCCCCACTCTCACCCACCCCGGGTATTGAGAAATCCTGAAACCAGGCCACCAGGAGAACAGGGGAAAGGCCTGGGGCCCTTCAGTCTGGACAGATTTGAGGGGAAGAGAAGAATGACAGCTATCCACCAACTGTGGAAGAGCTGTCCAGATTTCAAAGTAATCAAGAACTCCAAAGGTCCCAAAGCCAGATGGCCTGCCTCAGTGGGCAGGGGGTTATCCCTCAGAGGTCTTCTGTGAAAGCTGACTCGCCGTGATCAAGGATGCTGTGAGGCTGACCAAAGCACCAAACTGTATCCTGAAATGAGCTGGACCAGAAGACCCTTCAGGCCCCTCCCCAATCCTAAATTTCTTTAGAATGGACTGCCCCAGTTGGAGGCCCAGAAGTATCGACTACACCTGATGCCTCTAATTCGATTAAAAACCGGGGGCCTCTCTGGACCTTGTTTTAGCACACACCCTTCAACCCTGGACATCTAAAGCCTGCATTATTGCTACATTATCTCACAAAAGAAATGCTACAGCCAGAAGCTCTGGCTCTGCCAGAGTGTAGGCCCACCTCCTGAAACATACCCCAAGCAGCAAGGGTGTGGAAAAATAGGAGCACTCTGTTTCTTCTGATCTGACAAAGGAGCATTCCACGACTCCCTCCTTCCCATTCATCGCATCCACAACAGAGAAGACAAATCTGGCCCCGGCATAGGCCATTGACAGGGTAGCAGAACCTAAAAGAATAAAATCAGGTTGGTCCAGCTAATAGTGCAAGGTGATTAGGGTAGAAAGCAGAGACCTAAATGTGGTCTTTTCTGAAACTACCACCAGCACATTTTAATGCTCAATCGTCAAAATTTAGTTTGCTTTTCCCCTTCGTCTTGAACACCCATGAACAATCCCACACACTTTCAATTCTACCACTCCACCCCCTTCTCCCCAGAGCACTCCCACCTGTGCTTGACTATCTGGTGGTATCACTACCACCAATCCATTCCCCTGACCCACAGGAAGCTCCCTTGCCGTGACACAGATAAGCAGTGCCCAGAGAGGCTGCATGTGCAAACCCACCAGCTCCAGCTTTAGCTTTGACAACCTCTGTGCCAGCCTCCTGGATCCTTCCTGTCAGGGTTTTGAGCTGATCCTCAGGAAACTCCACCTTAGGCGTGCACTGGAAACCAAAGAGATCTGGTTATCCCAAAACCAACACAACCCCCTGACAACCTGCTTTACTCCAGCGACCTGTGATGCCAGCGGTGTGGGGGTGGACACAGCTTGAATTACAGGTCACAATGGCTCTGACTTAGGAGGTTTCTGAGGGCTGCTGTGGTCCATTAGGTGAAGAGCTCCTCTAGACTTAACCAGGCTGGCCCTCAGGCCACAGCCCTAGAGGCCATCACCAGGCCCATGCTCAAAGCCTCCAGCTTGGCAGGACCTAGAAGAGCTGATGCTAGCTGGCTCTCACGGCTCGGGATCTGTGCCACAATTAGAGCAAGACTTTATTGGAAGAAGACTCCTCATCTAGATAAAAGAAGTCTTCAAATGACTCATTTATGCAGTGCTTTCTGGAGCTAAGCTAGGCCCTAACTGAGGGCAGCTAGATGGCATCCCAGTGCATAAAGCACTGGGCCTGGAGTCAGAGATGGGGGTACAAAGGGTGCCCTAGGATCAAAAATAACATTATGAATTACTTTTCCAGGCCCCTGAGGGGGTTTGAGGCTCCTTCTGTAGCCCATCCTGTACCCTGAGATCCTGGAACATGAGAGCTTCTCAAGCCCTTTCCCCTGATCTTGAAATACCATACAACTTGTACCAAAAGAACTGCCTTTGTCTCCCTTATCCTGAGTTCCCTATCTTGTCATTTATTTGTCCCTACTCTCCAACCCCCATAAGAAACCCTAAAAATACATTACCATCCTACAGGCTACATAGCTTTCAATCTATATAAGCCTGGGTCTTCCTATATCATGGCCTTTGTTTAGCTCCTTGCTAACCTCAGGCCTGTGAAGCTTTCAAGTAATAAAGCTCCCAATGGTTACAGAGGTCTAAGTGAATTCTTTCACACCTGAACCAGCTCTCCCAACTCTAACCTCAACATAAAGAAGACTCTTCTTCCTGAGTTCAAATCTGGCCTCAGATACTTACTAGCTGTGTGACCCTGGGCAAGTCACCTACCCCTGTTTGTGTCAGTTTCCTCAACTATAAAATGAGCTGGAGAAGGTAACTGCAAAGCACTTCAGTATCTCTACCAAGAAAACTCCAAATAGGATGAGAGAAATTAATATTATACTGTCATATTAATAACTAATTATTAATTTGTGATTTACCCTTTTCCTTTCATTTCTATTAAGAACCAACTCCTGAAAGGGTCAGTCTCTGAAGGGCAGGCCTGGGTGATGAGATTACTGCTAGCCCCCTTGCACGTAACTAAGCTGGGTGGGACCCCACCCAGCTCAGGAAGAAAACTAGCCGAGAAGTCCAGCAGGAGATGGTTTCTCCAGCCCAGATGCCGGGAGAGTGCACTCTCTGGATCAAGCCTCACTCTCAGTCCTCATTCAGCAGACCTCCTTGGCATATCACTAAATGTCTACCACTCAGGGGAGTGCCCGCTCAGAAGGGATTTAAGGCGCTTCAGAGCTTTCCTTGGAGTATTTGGTTACCAAGAGAAACCATCAATGTGCTGATCACAGGCTATCCTAATTAATAAGTTGGTTATTAATTACCCAGAAACTCTCTCGGAGTTTCACTGGTCACAGGGGGTCACACAACTGAAACGACTCAACAACAGACCCTAACTCAGAGATCAGTGGCCATAAACCCTTTCTCCCCCACACGTGCCTACATATGAAGCCATTCCCTCTTTAGAAGTCATATAATATGGTCTACGTCCAGTTCTAACATGAACCAAGACAGACTAACTGGCAAGCCTCACCAATGAGACACAGTCCAGACTTGATGCTGGAAGCTCAGGGTAGAAAGAATGCTGGCTTTAAATCTCACCTCTGGCACTTGTATGAGTCTGGGCAGCTCATTCCCCTCCTTGGGATCATTTCCTCGATTGTAAAAAGGGGGGGGGCAGGGGGTCTCCGAGGTCCTATTACTCTCCGTGACCTCAGGTAAGCCTTCACATTCTTGGACCTCATTGTGCTCATCTTCAAATGAAGGGACTGGACCACGTAGCCTCTGACCCAAGAACCCATGGTCCCTTTAGAATCAACCTCAGGATGAAGACTGGAGACGCCTTCCTCCTTTCCAGGCAATTTTATTAGATCAAACGTCTTTGAGGCCTCTGCCCAACAGGGAGCACACCCTGGCCAGAGAGCACATACCTGAGAGATCAGGGGGATGATAGTCTTCCCTGCGTGGCCGCCAATGACGGGGACATTGACCCGAGCTGGATCCAGGCCCTGGTGAGAATGCAAGGCTCAGTTAAATTTTAAACAGATGTTCAATGGCGAGGTTCTGCATGAGCTTTTCTGTACGCCTTGCCTACTCAACCCCAAAATCCACAGAGTTTTATCAAAAACAAACTCCTTTCAGAAGATAAAGGGTGGGGGCAGCTAGGTGGTGCAGTGGATAGAGCACCGGCCCTGGAGTCAGGAGGACTGAGTTCAAATCGAGCCCCAGACATTTGACACTTACTAGCTGTGTGACCCTGGGCAAGTCACATAACCCCACAGCCTAGCCAAAAAACAACAACAACAACAACAATAAAAAGAAGATAAAGGGTCAGGCCTAATACCACCTAAAAAAGCTGGCTAGAGGTGAATGAAAGAAACTGACTTTAAGGCAGGGGTTCTTAACCTGATGTCTGTAAACCTGTTCTTTAAGAAAATATTTTTATAACTACATTTTAAATGGTTTCTCTGGAATATTTTATTTTATGCGTTTAGGAACATGATTCAGAGAATGGATGCAAAGGTTTCACCAGAATGCCAATGAAGCCCAAGACGGACAAAAGGTTGAGAAAGCCTGCTCTCAGGGGCCAGTTATGGTTTAAAGGTTGTCTGACACACCTGCCACCCGGTGAACTGCAGAGCTTCGAGCTCAGCACGTTTCCCCGGCCTTCGGGGCTCCCCAATCCAAGCCGCCCCGGCCTATGGCAGTAACAAGGATAGCACGCAGCTCACTAGAGCTAGCAAGCCGCAAAAACCTTTTGGATGCATGAGGTGAGAATAAAGTCACATGGACAAGAGTTGTGAAATGAGCCTCCTTAATCCCCAAAGAACCTACGTGACTAAGGAAACCAATCAAGGCCACTTAAATTCTTAATGTAAAAATTCCCCAAATGTGGCTAAGAGATAAGCTGGGAAGGTCTGAGCTGAATAAGCCTTACCTTCAGTTCTGCAACAAAAGTGTTTGCTCTGACAATATCCAGGGTTGTTACACCAAAGATTCTGTTGGGGTTGTACACGCCTTGTTTCTTAAAAACCTCAGATGTGATTGGGATGGTAGAATTGACCTAGGAAAGGGAATAGACAAGATGTCAGTTCCCCATGGCTTCAGAGATGAGGGGGGCAAAGCATCACATCAGGTACTGTTTGGTAAACTTTCAAATTCATCTGGGTTTAAAACAACCTGATCTTTATAAAGCTGAGTGCCACATCTCTTCTTACCACACTAAAGAGAAAATATTTTGGCACATGGGAGGCACGCTCCAATGCCTGAACCATCAGTGATGGGGCTGATAGTCTGAGGCACAGGCTCAAACACATTTCATGTCCGTTAGGAAACTAACATACTAAAAAGGTGCCAACTTTAAAATGTGTGTGTTTATCATAACCTACTCAGTCTGGGTTAGTATGAAGCTGTGCATGCCACCCCAAAGCACAGCAGAGCCTTTCAAAGTCTAGCAGCTACAATGGAAAATCCTTCCAATGGCTACAGTCCAGAACCTCAAGGAGAAATAAGAGGCTGGGGGAAGAGCAGGCTTCCCCCAAGAAGGCATGGGAACCATCTCTAGCTACTGGATAAAGGTCATTGTCCTTCACTGGCACCTTCATTCAGATCCTTACTGTGATCTAAAATCCAAGTTTAGCCCAAACGTGGGAAAGAGCAAAATGCTCCTGCTCCACAAGCATCCTGGGGGCTGTGGTGAGGGCTGGGGAGGGGCCAGTCACATGGACTACTCCACCCCCAAGTCAGTGGCAGGAGGGGACGGATGAGTTAAAGAGTAACAACTAATTGTGTAGGAGGAGAACCAGACAGTATCTGCAAAGAGCAAAGGGCAAAAATTGGGAGATCTAGTAGAGAGGGAGAAAAAAGGCTGTGTGATCTTAAAGGAAGAAAACCACCTAGATAAAACCTATTATAAAGGATCGAAGAATTAAAGGGGATCTAATGCCAGAGAGCCGGACGAGCCAGTTCTCACGTATGGAAACCTGACAAATGTTAGGGAAACCCATTCCAAGTGCCAGCACACATGGCAGCACGTGAATGCCATGACTTCAGACACAAGGACCGATATCTGTGATAAAAACTTCAGAGACAGCTGGGAGCCTGCCATGAAGTAACACAGAGGGAAGAGAGCAGAGCCAAGAGAACACAGCCCCGACCAACTCTGTCAATGAGCAAGAAGACTCCACTTCAGGACAGTGGATTACCCCGGCTCCTCCTTCATCCAAGTTAACACACGCGAGCTTTTAGCTGGATGGCCAAAGAACAACTAAACTAAGTTAGCTGCATTCACGCTCTGGTTCTGCTTCACTCCAAGGTACAATGTGTTTCTGTTTGGCTATGTTAAGAGAAACTTGAATCCTAAAACAAAGCCCAAGAAGAATCCATCCCAGCGGTAATGGTCTCTCTGTGCCAGGCCTCCTCACGTCTCAGGCCCAGCTGCCCAGGGAGAAGGAAGCTTACCGGGTTTGCAATAATACAGATCATGGCTTCTGGGCAATGCTTAGCACAGGCAGCAGCCAGAGTAGCTACGATGGTAGCATTGGTGTTGAAAAGGTCGTCACGAGTCATTCCTGGAAGGAAGGAAAGAAAAGGGGCTAGGCATTCGAACCACCACTTCTTCTCCCACTGCTGCCATCACGGTTCGAGTCTGGCCCTGGGGCAGGTAGGGAGGCTGGGCGGCTCCATCTAACGTACCCGGCTTTCTGGGGACTCCTGCGGGAATCACAACAACATCACAGCCTTTCAAGCAATCTGGCAGCTGCTCAGGTCCCAAGTAACCTAGGAAAAAACATAGCTCACTGAAATAACCACACCCTCTTCTGACCCAGTGATGCTGGCTAGTACCTGGAAAGGAAAGGGGCAAAATTCAAGCACACTCAAATGTTTCATATGAGTAAAAGTTCATATTTTTACACATGGATCCCACTTAGTGTTGTTTCACAACAGTCTTTAAGACCCTGGCACCAATTCCATCCTATCATCCCCTACCTGAGTGGGCCTAGCCCCCTCTTCCCAGCTCCCCTGTGCTAGATCAGCTCCTTCTTCGCTCCCTCTTCTAACTACCCCCCCAAAAGGAGATGGGGAGATGGGGGAAGGCATCAGCAGCACCACTCAGCTTTGTTTCCAGGACACCCTCTGCCTCTGAGTAGCAACTGTGCCTCCCACAAGCCCACCACCCTGGGATGGAGTCACTGACCATTAGGTTACTTGTGCTGGTACAGCGCATTCCTCACTAACAGCCCAGATAGGTAATACAGATGAGGAAACTAAAAATGACTTGTCCAGTAACAAAACCAGGAATTGGAAGAATTGAGACTTAAAATAAATTCTGACTTCAAACCAGATACTCTCCGTTAAAAAATGGGATATTTCAATTGTCTCCTGAGAGGCATCTGTCTGCAAGCTTAGAATGGACCCAAATCCCTAGTCAATGATTGACAAAAAGTTATAATAGTCCCAGAAAGGGGTGATAAGGGCAGCTTGGATTCTAACTAATTTTTCGTATCATAAACTTCAGGAAACGAGCTCAACTAAAAAGCAACAAAATGTTATTTAGACATTACGGCTCAATGAGGTTTCTGCCTATTAAAGCTCAAGCACGGTTCAAGCATTTAACTTTAAAGTTCAAATCTGTATTAACAATGATGCTTTAAGATTGTAAATGTCTGAGTAAAACTAAAAATCACACCCTAAATATAGACCCAGACCAACTCAAGCACTCTGATTCCAGAGCAAAAGGGCCATTCATTCTTTCATTCATTCATTCCAAATAGAAGCCAAGTACATATGTTATGGGTTTGCTGGCAGTACCTTTGACAGTGGCTCTGGTCTCGATGTGGCTCAAATCAGCTGCTACACCAGGGGTATGAGCAATGTCATAGAGCGTTAGACGGCTCACCAAAGGACTGTTCTTAAGGAGCAGAGAAAGGGGCTGTCCAATTCCTCCAGAAGCACCCAGCACAGCTACTTTTGCATTATTCTAGAAAATGGGAAAAGATAGGGAAAGAGAAACATTCAGGAGAAAAACAGAATATTCAGAAAATGTCTAACAGCCTTAGCTTCATTCATTAGAAAACTTTTTTGGTACAAAGTCTCTTGCCAGAAGAAGAGTTGTTGTTTTAAACAGTATCTATATGATGGTCACGTAGATGAGCAGCAAGGTGGTGCAATGGATAGAGAACCGGGAAGACGAGTTCAAATCTAGCTGTGAGACCCCGGGCAAGTCATTTAATCCTGTTTGCCTCAGTTTCCTCATCTGTAAAATGAGATTGAGAAGGAAATGGCAATCTGCTCTAGTATCTTTGCCAAGAAAATCCCAAAAGGGGTCATGAACAGTATGGCTGAAAGACTAAACCCCACCACCACATGATGGTCGTGTTCAACTTGTTCATCCTGGTCCTGCTTTCCAGTCTGATCCCAACGGCCAGAGCCCAGGGAAGCATGCCCCTTGTGAAGATGGAGCCTCTGTAGGTGCGGCAGCCCCCATGCCCTCAGCAGCTATCGCCCACCAAAGTCCTTGACTCTGTCAAGTGGTTCAATATCAGAAATAGAAATGGTTTCATCAATGAAAACAACATTGTACTGTCTGTTTCGCCACTGAGTCCTAAGGACCATGGGACCTGTCCATTTAATTTGTATCTGAAACTACCCTATTGAATGCAGTCTGCCCCTTCAAGAGAATCTGGGCTCTTTGAGAGCAGGCTTTGCTTTCTATTTGTATCCCCAGTGCTCAGCACATCCTGAGCCTTTAACAAATGCCTTTTCCTTTCATTTGTTCATCTCCAACTAAAAACATATCTATCATGAACTTAAGTTAAGGCCAGCCCCTCAGAGACAATTCTGATCCATGGCAGAAGTCACTGAGAATGGTTCCTTAGTCAATGGAGTACAAGAATGCTTTTGTTCCACTGAGGCTACCATGGGTTTTGTTCCACTTCCTCACCATTCACTAATCTTGGAGGTTTCAGCTAACAGAATCTCTGACATGATCTCGGAAGAAAAAAATGAGATCTACCCCCTTAAGGTAAGGAAGCAATACTTCTTGCTCTATACATAATAAAAGATCTGACAACGTGGTTCAAAACCCCATCACATAAGAATCCCACAATTAGACCATGCTAACTCAGGACACCTTAGTTCCATTCTGTAGCTACTTGTCAGTCCACTGGAAGGACTAGGAAGGTGCTTTCAAACAAAACCCTAAATTCGATTTGAAGATGTCATTAGTAGGGGAATGTCCCAATCCAGAAACTCCTTTTCCCAATGCACATCAATTGTTCAGTTGTCTGGGATCCTGAGAAGTTCAGTGCCTTCCCTCAGTTTCGACTAGTGTGTGTCAGAAGCCAAACCTGAACCCAAGCCTTCCTGACCTCAAGGCCAGCTGTCTCTCCCCTGTGCCTGGCTGCTCACCAAGAGACAATTGGCCAGAAAATCAGGGCAGAAAACAGGGACAGAAATAAAACTGAGTTAGCTTAAGCCATAAGGACTTCTCCCCTTCTCCCCAGTTCAGCATGGTCAAGCATCAAGGAGACTGTGAAACATCCCCATCGACTGACAAGCACTGATTAAGGAGCCCTGTGTGTGAGGCAGGCAGTGCCAGGGGCTGGGGCTACAGAGACAAATGCAACATGTATGTCCTCAAGGTGCAGCCATTCAACCGGCGAGCCCCACTGTATACAAGGGACAATAATCTGAGGATCAGAGCAGGCTTCCCTGAGGATGGGAGCTCTGGACTAAGAGGGAAATGGAAAAATGGAAAGAGGGTGGGATTTGGAATCAGAGAACAGGGGTTCAAATCCCTGGCTCTGCTTTTTATGTAACTTAGAAATACTGAAACCCCCTGCTTACAGGAGTGTTGGAGTCAGAGGGCTTGGGGTCAAATTTCAACTCCACTCCTTGCTACCTTTCAGTTTGTACAAGTGGCTTCCCTCATCTGTAAAATGAGGGGGTTGGACTCCGTGGCTCCTCTGAGCCCTTTCAGGTTTAAATGGATGATTCAAAGAGGCCGCCGAGGAGTGAGACCATTCCACGCATGGGGAACACACCAGTGTGTTCAACGAATGCTTGACTGAGGGCCAGCGTGGCTGAAACATGAGTGAGTGGAGTGTGACAGGAAATAACTCTGGAAAGGCAGGTTGGTGCAAGGTTAGAAAGAGCTTTAAGGAACAAGCTGGAGAGGAGCATGCTTTGTATCCTAGAGACAACTGTGGAGCAGAGGAGGGACCTCGGGTCAAGGCATCCATCCTCCTTATTCTACGACTGAAGACTCAAGGCCCAGAGAGAGCGAGTGACTTGTCCACACTGACACGGGCACTAAGTGACGGAGCCAGGCAGCTGATCATATATTTTAACCAAACTGTGACTTGTGATGGCTTGAGGAGCCTCCTTAGCTACAGCAGATCAGCGCCTGCTCTAGAATTTACATTCTTAGAGGGTCTAAGTACTATTATTCTTATTTTCCAGATGAGAAAACTGAGGCCTAACTAGGAAGGGTCAGAGAGAAGATTCAAAAACAAGGTTCCTACTTCTTGCTAATTGGCTGAAAACATTTTCTTTCTTCATCTTCATCCTCAAGAACCAAGGCTGTGGGTGGAGCCTGTCCCCTCTTATAAATGTTTATTACATCAGGGTTCCAAAGTGATCTCTATTGACAACAGAGATCAGGGATTTTTTTTTTTTTTTGGCCCAGACCTGTAACTTAAACCATATAGGTGAAGAATTCCTGGTGAGCAAACTCCCTTCACTGATGCAGAACAGCATCAGGTTTGCAACTTAAGAGTCTAAGGACATTTGTCTGGGGCCAAGAAGAAGACAGAAGATTTGCTCAGGGACAGGCAGCTAGGAGGTGCTGAGGGCCACTACAGGTTGCTAGGCCTGTCTCTATCCACAATACCATTCTCTCTATTAGCGTTCATCAAGGAAGAGCAACAGATTCTCACAGCTGATGTGACATCATCCCGGAAAGACAAGTATTATTATTCCCAGCCCCCACCACTATAAGAAAGAATGTGACTGGTCCAACGTCCCACAGCTGGAGTCTGAACCTGGGACTTCTGACTCCACTATATGCCACACCTTGCCCACTATTGCGTGTAAAAAAACTTGGCTAAATGCAACGCTAAGGTACCATTTAGATAAACAAATTAAGTATTAAGTAATTGAAAGTATTCAGTAAATGAATTCATACTTCACAGATGTTAGCTGACAAATCCCACTGCAGTAATAAACTTTCTTAACTAAAATACAAAGTTTAACAGGGTTCCAAGGAATGAATGAAGAATCTTGGATTAAGTAGTTATTATGTTCCAAATACTGTTCTAAGCGCTGCAGAGTCAAACAGAAAAAGCCAGACAATCTCTACCCTCAAGGACCTCACGCTCTAAAAGTTCAGTTGTCAGGAGTAAAGTCCTGAAGTCCTGAGGGTGCAAGAGCGGGGCAAACAGCAAAACCCAGGGGTCCTTAGGTTACTTAAACAGTTAAGATGACAGTGCAGAGGGTTGCAGGGCATAATGACAGGGCACTCCATCTCATCAGAAAGAACAGAGTTAAGTGAGTTTAATCCCTGTGAGCAGTCAAGCAGCCAAGGCAAAGAGGAACGCCAGGTGCTAGGCACACCCAATTGGCACTATTCTTGACACTGACCATCAGGGTGGCTTCTGGGAAAGACAAGAGCAGGGGGAGGGGAAAGATATTGGATGGGGCAATGGGTCCCCCTCAGTGTTGGCAGCTCTTTTTTTTTGGTGAGGCAATCAGGGTTAAGTGACTTGCCCAGGGTCACACAACTAGTAAGTGTCAAGTGTCTGAGGTCGAATTTGAACTCAGGTCCTCCTGACTCCATGGCCAGAGCTCTATCCGCTGCGTCACCTAGCTGCCCCTTTGGCAGCTCTTCTTGCCCATCCTGGATGTGTTGGGGGAGGTGAAAGCTGAAGGAGGAAGGCAAGAGAGGCAGGGAATCGACTCCTGTTTACTAAGTGTCTATTAGGTGTTTAACCTGGTTCCGGGTGTTATAGATGACAAAGATTGTTTAATTTTAAAATTTTAAATTTAATTTAAATTGTTTGATTTTAAAACTTAATAAATGCTGCTGCCTCTGCTTTACAGTCCTTACAGCCAGTCTCAGACATTTTAACTTGGCAAACATTAATAAGGAAAGTGATAGGGGAGCTGCATGACACACACTCCTGAATGCCAGTTACAACATGTTCAAAGAGAACTCCCCTTTTACATTCTAAAAGGGCAGAACCAAGAACTGTGACTTGCTTATTGAGAAGAGAACCATATTATTTATTTGAAGTTTTTTATTCTTCAATCACCATTTACACTTGAGGAAGGCCTCCAAATGCGTCAGACCCTACCCACCCTTTAGGTCCCAAGCACAACCTCTGTTGATTTCTTCTCTCTCCAAAGAGCCAGTTAGTGCTAGATCACAGAGCTAGTTAGTGGCAGAGAAAGTAATCAAAACAAGATCTTTTTCAAATCTAAAATCTTCGGTTTATACATTACCTAAAATCTCCCTGGGGCCGTCATCTCTTCCCTTCACCCTTAGAATTCAGTAAAATATGCCTTAATAGAATTTAGCAATCTAATAACTTCAACTAGCAGAAGCATGGTCAATAATTAGGAAAAAAAGATCTTCAAGCAGTGAAAATACAAAAACTCCATTCACTAAAGCTTATGCACTTTACTGGCAGGACAAATCCTCATTCAGGGCCAATTGTCTATAAGAATTTTAACAAATTTTTTTAGGCAGTTGGGGTTAACGACTTGCCCAGTATCACACAGCTAGTAAGTGTCAAGTGTTTGGTCTGAGGTCATATTTGAACTCAGGTCCTCTTGACTTCAGAGCCGGTGCTCCATCCACTGTGCCATCTAGTTCCCCGGGGAACAAATTTGACTATATGGCAGATTAATAGTAAATCAGAAACTGGTTGACGGTCTGCTCCAGCTAGGAACCTCATAGCTAAAAGATAAGGACCACTG